TTTTTTTTCCTTTAAAAATTGGTGGGTACCAATTCTAGAGTTAACGGACAACATCGAGGCATAGATGGTGTGAGCGCAAAACCAATCCTAAAAATCTGAGGTACTATTTCTGTATCCACAAATATGTTTACTCTTTTCAGTAAATTTATAGAATTGCTTGATAAGGAATGAGGTCAATTTCTATTGAATTGCTACTACGTTTTATGAATATTTAAGCTTATTTTTATTTTTTTCTGCCCTCATGGAGTGTATTTTTATTTTTACATTTGGAGTTTAAGAACTTGATTATCATATAAAATCTAAATGTTTTCTAGTCAATTGATGTTTTGATTTTTTTCTTCATATCACGTTATCATGATATGAAACCAAAATTTTTTTAGGTGGTACAAGAATGTAGGGTAATATACATAATAGGCATGGGTTTACACATATTGTAAATACTTCTCCTTTGATTTATTGTATGGAAGTTTAAATTGGCTATTTGTTGATCTTTTTATTTTTTAAAAGTAAATGCAGTAGAAGATGTCGGAATACGAGATGCAAAGGTTGAAACGTATGGCTGAAAATAAAAAAAGAATGGAAGAATTGGGGATTAAAACTCTTGCTTATGAAATAAATTGTTCAAAAAAGGGCCAGAATCAGAATCAGAAGGGAATAAGCAAAGTGACTTCTCAGAATGATGTTGCAAATAATTATGAGTATATCCCTGATGAAGAAGAACATGAACCGAACAAGTCAAATGACAAGATTGGTGTGCAACTGAAAAGAAGATTGAGCTCTCGTTCAAAAAAGGTTAAGTATTTTGGTATCATTATTTGTTTACAATCAGGTTTTAGTAAATTAAGTGGACATTTTATCAGTGTATGAATATTGGAAATATATTCCAGGTGATGGCCACAGGAGGAAGTTCTACTAGTGGGTTAGTGAAAAAACAATCTTCAATGGCAAGTTTATTAAAGATGCACTATCAAACTCCTGTAGAGCCAGACAGATTGAGGAATGATGGAGACGGAAAAAAAACGGATTCGTTAGAAATAATACAGCAAGAGACCACAGGTGAAAAGGTGCAATATAAACAAGCTGAATGGTCTGTAAAACTAACAGGGCAAGCAAAATTTCAGCATAGGAAAGCACAAGAAGGCAATGATATCATGAGCAATGCCTCCAAGAAAATTGCACAAAGCAAGATACTGGTCTCACCTGGATCCCTTAGTGCATATGTTAGGATGAAAAAGAACTCAAAGGCACAAAAAGAGCCATCAACAAACACTGATCATGTTTCTAGGAGGGGTCTTTTGTATGATAATGTAACAGGGTTGGGATCCAATTTAGTTGAAGAAAATGAAGCTTACGAAAGCTTACATGAATATGTCTCCGAAGGAGAGGCTGATTTAAATCCAAAAGAGATTTCTAATGATGTAACTAATATCACAGATGAACCATTTTCCGTGCAGGAACGACATGATATACCAGGTAACGTTGAAGCAAATTTATTTTCCGTTTCGTAAATTTGTTATATGTGCCTCTATATTTTCTTTCCAGATAATACTTTGGAATGGGGTTGACATTTTAAATTGTTAAGCAAATAGTTTGCACATAAAATATATTACTTTTCTATTTCTTATGTGATACTAATTTGTAAAGTTATGATGAAAAAGAAACGAACAAGAGGCCCAAGTCTGTGCAGTGATATCCATGAGCGTACCATAGACAATCGTTTGCCTATCATTCTGAATGGATTGTGTCAACCAATCGGTCCAGATAAGGCAACGCTAGATAAGTTTAGCCGTTTTTTGGGATCATTAGCTCGTGATTCTACTCTTGCACCTTTAAATGAGATTAATTGGACCCACGTCCGTGATAAAGATAAAATTTGGGAGTATGTCAAGGTATACAGTTGTTTACGATTTGTACACAATAAGTACTTTTTCACAACCTTCTCGGATTTAGTTAAACATTTACCATTACTTCCATCCGATTTATTTATGAATCCTTTGATGTTAATATGTTATGCCAACAGCTTTTTTTTTGTGTTGTACATTGCAGACAAAGTTTATTATAGCAGAAGAAGGTAAGACGTATGTATTGCAGTCCATTGGAGCTCTCTGGCGTACTCATAAATCCAGAGTGAAAAAGAAGTATTTCTACAACTCCAACTTCATAGATGAAGATGATGAGAAAAGATTGATTCCCGTATCTCATTTGAAGGATTTGCTAAAATATTGGGCTCTCGAAGAAGTTCAGGTAATGTGTTTTGATCTATGAATTTAACCTTAAATAAGCTCCATGGCTTAATCCCACCATCTCTTTTTGGAGCTTGTTGACTTGTCAATTTAGAGCTTAAACCTTTATAGTATACATAATCATTGTTGCTCTTTACTTTCTTAGTGAAAATATATGGTAATACGAAATTTGACCTTTCAAATGTTTTAAATGTCATTTCAAAATTCATCGGCCTTTAATACGACTCTTACCCCTTTGTTTTTTTAGCTCCAGGTTGGAGGTCAGGGTCTATCGAGCCTAGGAAGGTATTATTCATGAGTTGTTATCTATGTTCGGCCTTTAATACTTTCATGTACTTATAATTGTAGATGGTTTCTGAAAAGAAAAAGCTAGCGAGCCAACGTCTAAAAAATAGACACACTATGGGTCCTGTAGCCTTTGCAAGGAAGCGTCATGAGTTGGTAAGCTTCATATATCATTTATTTGTTTTTATATGTATCCTTATGTGATTCTTTT